GTAGCGACTACGGTAGTTTCACTACTTGTAGCGCTCTACTTCAGGCTGTTGCTCATGACCGTCTGAACAGGGATTCAACTTTCAGCGTAGGCAGGTTCGCATTTATTCTCTTACTTTCTCTCTCCTGTTCTCCGCCACTGGTGATCCACTCCATCGTGATAATACGTCTTAGTAATATTGAGACTTCAAAATTTCATACTTTTTCAAATAAACGACTCATTCCATTTAACCGTAACGTGTTGTGGGTGAAAAGGACAGCTCCTTTTAACTTCCCTTTCCTTAAACATGTTTTCAGGAAACATATCATAGAAATAATACTAAAACTAGATAACTCAATATTTTTTTTATTTATATTATGATTTTTATGATTGAACTATTAAAGTTTTGAAATGCTTTAACTAGATAACTCTAGAACTAACCATATGTGTTTCCTAACGGTAGATGTTAGAACTTGATAACTGTTAAGAAAGGACAGCGCCTTAATTTTGTCGTATTTTATAAACATACTTTTTTTAAAAAATGTTTATAAAACCAAGTAATATAAAAGCATGGTTTTGATACTATATCTAACACAAAACTTTTCACCTCTCAGTGCATAATATTAAAACCGCGCTGGAGCTTTAAAAAGTTGCAAAACTTTTAACTTACAACCATTTTCTTAATTAGGGTCAGTGGGGATAATTACGACCACTTTTAATTTTTTTTTAATTCGAAGTATAATTTGTCTAGTATAAGTTCATATTTTAATGATACAGGGTGACTTTTTTTGATTCTTTAAGAATGCGGGAAAAGATTATCAGCCATTCTAAGTAACATATGTATTTAAGCTCTTAAAGGGATGGTCATAATAAACCCACTAAATTTCTCAAAAAGCAATTGGGTAGTTATGATTTCATGGGGGGGGGAATCTGGCCAATCAGCTGATACATATTCTAGAACTGTTGCTGACTCACGGTCAGTCCATACAAATACTCTAATCATTACTTTCCCCTTTTCACCTATTCCATGCACATAAGAGGAGCTTTTATTTGACCATGTCTGTTTTTTTCTATCTTTTTAACTGATTTTAAATTTTCGTAAAAACCCTAATAAAATTTTTAAATTTTGTTAGATAGGCGCAATAACCGACTGTGGGGGCTTTCTTCAAAGATAACAAAGGTGTCTTTTTTATAAAACCCATAAACCAGTCTTTCTTTGATGGTTTGCCATCCTTAAAAATATCAAAAACAGAGTTTTCTTTAACGTAAATTACAACAAGAGGCAAAAGTTCTTGCCATTCACAAGAATAAACAAATTAAATAAAAATTCTGCAAGTTTGCATTCTTCTTTCAAGTTCCTGTTAAAGGTGGTCATCTTTGTATTTTTTCTGAAATAACTTTTCTTCTAATTTGCTGCGGACTCAGTTTTTAGCTGATTCAGTTTCCTTTCTTTTACTATCGTAACAGAGTAACATCGTTCTTTAGAAAATAAGAAGGATGATGCTTCTTTTTTGTGTACATTCTTGGCATTTTAACACAAACGAAGACAAAATCTCAGCAATTTTGAATTTACATGTAAAATAGAGTAATTATGATCGTATACTTCCAGGTAATGAACTTTAATCCGAACATAAAATAATAATCGAATGTGGAAGAAGGCATAATTGGGTTAACTTATCGATTTACACTTACCAAAAAATATTCTTCGATGGCACAATTTACTTTGAATCAACATGTGCCGGAATTTTTTTTCACAGAATAAGATAGTGTTTTAGAATCAGTTGAATATTGACCCAAAATTTTTATCTAACAACTATTTAAAGGTTCCTAAAACAAAATATACACTTAAAACTAGATATTTTTCGAAATTCTTATACTGGTTGAGTTTTTAAAAAATTCCGCTGGTCACAACTATCCTGATGTCATTATTACCCCCACTTAACCCTTTATCATTTCATATTTCTGTCCATTTGCCAGAAATCAAACTAATATTATTCTTACCTAAGAATAACTAAGGTTTTTCAAGTGTTACACTTTTCAAATGCTTTATACCACGCCTTTGGGACTCCCTAACATGTGATGGTAACGAAATGGTTTTAAGGCTACAATGTTTGATCACACCTGGACACTTCATAGCTGGAAACCTGCCGAAAATATATTTTAAAAAACGATTCTGATGAGTGAAGAGGACAGCACTTTTTAATTTTCTGATCTTTAAACATTTTTTTCAGAAAACGTATGATAGGTAAAGTGTTATAACTTGATAATTTAATACTTTTAGATTGCGAGTCATGCATACACTTAAAAAAAAAGAAGAAAAAAAAGAGTTATATTGTTAAAATTCTGGTATGCTATTAAAATTCAGGTATGGTGAAATTCTGAAACTAACCAGATGTGACGCCAACGGAAAATGTTAGAACTAATCAACTCTTAAAATAAAACAAATATTAATTTTAAGAAAAAAAATTTTCTTTCAAAAAACATTTTTTAAAGTTTTCTAGTTTTGATAATGTTTCACCTTTCTGTGAGTAATATTAAGATTACGCAAAGAATCTGAAAGTTGCCAGAGATCTAAGCAATATTAGAAAAAATAAAATGAAAAATAGCAATATTTACAAACTGTCAACTGTGGTTTTTATTGCACATCTCTGATGTCCATTCACCAGCAACCTGACTTGCACTGATGTTACTTTGTACTTCGGTAACTTTGTAATCTCGTGACTTCAAATTTAACTCCTAGTGAACGAATTTAAATTTCCAGTATCTATGCGTATGTTTCAGATATACGTATTGCTAGTAAAGCTATAAACTAATTGTACTTTCTAATGGTGTTCTACGAAAAAAAATAACGAGACAACATTAAATATCAAAATACGCTTCATAGACGACTTTGTCGAATTAATTTATTAATCATCAACACATACATCTCTCTTATTATTTTACAATGCTACAAAAATTAGATTTTAAACTCAAAATTCAACAAAAAATAAATAAGTTGTAGCATCATTTTAAATTTATATCCATAGAAAATATGCGAACTCTTGTGTTTTCTTTAATAAACTGCAGTTTCAACATTGTGGCAAGCAACACATCTAAAACATTTAGAATGTAATTTTGATATGCAAATGACCTTAACGAAAAGGAAAATACACGCCTAGGATCATTTACCTAATGATCTTCTTAGATTCCGGTTTCCGCTGTAGAAAATTTAATTTAAACTTAGCTGCCTACTAGAGGTTTGGATATGCAGCTCAGCTGTAGTTGATTTAAACTTGAAATGCTTTACATTTTTCAACCGTCAGCCTTCTAGATTTTAATATATTTAAGCATGAGTAATTTTTAAGGAAATGTTCCGATTTTTTTGGTGGAAGTTTTTTTTTAACCCTAATCTTCCTGTCAGCTGCTGAAAATGGCCAATGAAATGGAACTCCAATTTTCGCTTCATTTGTCCCAAGGCGTTAAGATACATACGTTTAATTTTTAAAAAATATTAAATAATTGCTCTAAAAATACTTTCCTCAATTGTTTTAGCAGTTTTGCTTTACGATCTGAGAGAAATTCATCGGTTTTAATTGGATAGCTTTTTAAATTAATTTGGCGCAGAAAAGAAAATATCTGAATAAATTAATGACTTATATTGCTCTAATTATTAAAATATTTAGTTTTCCGTTGTAAATTGCGTTTAGATTTGATTTTAAATAGATTCGAAAAGTTTTATTCCCATGACTCTTAAAAGGATACAATATTTTTTTTAACATGCTTATCAATTTAGATGTTAGAAATCAATATTTAAACATTTAATCGTTCTGTAAGTATTTCTGCAGTTCTATTTTAGTAACTCTTAAAATTACTTCACAATTAAATATAAAATGTACATTTAAAACAAATTAATGAAGTCAAAATATATTTTAAGTACAAGATGGAGAAAAAAAAACTGAAAGATTGAAAAGTGCATCATTATGATGACATTTTACATATTAACATAATGTAAACGATCATTAGATTACTCTATACGGTTCTTATAACTGAAATCGATTTATCAGATGGAAAACAAGTTTCTGGTTATTTCAAGAAAATTGTCCATAATTTTGGGGATTTAAACTAAAAATAGGTTTATGTATGCACACATAACTAAAAAATTATGCTTATTAATATGGAAGTATGGCATGATTATAATTATTCTACTGCAGAGGTTGCTGCCACTCTATACTTAATTTCATTCATCGGATCCATATTACTGGAACCTTTCTCTTCATAATAAAAACTATTCATTTCAATTATTTGTGGGGGTGGAGTTATCGATAATGTCAAACTTCATCTATGAAAAGGTACCCCAACATAGAATCGAGTTAGCATGTCTTATATACTAGTGAATTGGAGTTGTATTTTTGTAGTGGTAGCCACACTACAGTACTCCCCCACCAGAATTATAGCTGTGATAGAATTCGATGAACAGATACCACTAGTTGAGTCATTGTTGTTTTGTGAGAAACCGGGAGAGCTGTATTAAGATCACCGTACTTTTTGAGTGTTGATCGTGAGAGCTGTATTAAGTTCACGGTTGCTCCTGTGTTGCCATTAGTAGTCGAGTGAATACGTTTTACGTTATGTGTGATCGAAACTGAGTAGCAACAGCACGAGGAGGTGGATAATTTCACAGTCACAAGTAGCAAGTCAACCGTTCAATGTGGATCATCCATCGAAGTAGGCGTGTTCAAATCGTAGTGGGCGTTTCTACTAAGGTAGGCGTGAAGGTAGGTAAGGTCCGAAGGTCACCAATGTGAGGGTGGAGTTATCGACAATGTCAACCTTCATCTATGAAAAGGTACCCCAACATAGAATCGAGTTAACATGTCTTATATACTAGTGAATTGGAATTGTATTTTTATAGTGGTAGACACACTACAATTTCTTTAGGTTATATTTTAGAATTTTTTTTTACAAAAAGTTTTCTGACAATCTCATTTTTTAATTTTTTATTTCCTTTTATAAAAATTATTTATGTTTATTTTTCTTTGCAAGGTGCGGATCAATCTCGGAGCTGGAGAAGCTGTTCTTACTTCCAAATCTGGTCTTATCTTGAACGATCTAGTTTGGCACGAGTTGGAGTTGCACCGCAAGGATGCGGAACTCATCCTTGTCATCGACGGACTCCACAATACTGACCTTGACATCCCAGGACGCTTTTTCGAGTTGAATGTCAAGTACGGAGTTTTTGTTGGTGGGGTTGGCGGCTTCAACGAACTGTTTCTCGGCAACATCCCCAATTTCCGAGGCTGCGTTGACGATGTCATATTCAACAGCCACGATATACTAAAGATTGCAGCAGCCATGTCCGATGAACACAATGTCTTTGCCGTTACCTGGAACTGCAGTGATGAGTTTGATGCTCTCTCCAACCAGCCTATCAGTTTTTTAGAAAAAGGTAATTGCATTACAATGACTGATGCAGAAAAGTTACAAAAATGCATTGAATCACAAAATACATACTTATGTCGTTGTTACGAACGATTCGTTTGTATCAAATGATTCTGTTTAAAATCTGAATGTCATGATTTAAAAAAAAAAAAAACTTCAAATTTTAATGAAATTATACTTA